AAATTGAAATTCAGGAAGAATAAAAATGAGGAACCATGCATTGAACGAAGAGAAACGCATACGAGAAAATGGCGAGTTAATGAGAGTATGTGATGAAAGAGGAATATAAATAATAGAAGAGGAACTGGGAACAGTAAGAGTATGGAACCTCTGAGGGATAAAAAACGAGGCAACGACAACAGTAATACAAGAGACGGTGAAGGAGGCTGTGATAAATGAGTCACACACACACACACACACACACACACACACACACACACACACACACACACACACACACACACACACACACACACACACACAGCAATGAATTATTCAGCAGAAATCTTTGATTTTTGGATTGCCAGAGCAGCAAGAGGAGACAAAAAGTGAACGAAGGGAAGGTGAACAAAAGGAGGTAGAGGATTTAACTACAGATTAGAGGTTTAGAGGAGGAAAACAATGAGATGGCTGTTTTCAGAGTGGAATCTTCTATGAGAATGATGGCCTCCATTGATAATTATTTTTCATTTGGAAGCAATATATGATCAGGTTATAAACAGGAATTTAACTTCTGGAAGGTGGACAGGTACAGTGGAATATTTATACTGATAAATTAGACACGTGTGCAGCACTAAGGTCTGTTGAGAAAACGTTTCGCCACACAGTGGCTTCATCAGTCCATACAAAGGAGAATGGCGAAGAACAGGAGTAGTTTGAGGTAGTCAGTCCCTCAGCCTTGAGTCTATATAATCAGTCCGTCATTCTTAAAAAGAATACAGCATATGTTCGAAGAAGTGGTTTCTATACTGTAGACAGGTGAGGTGCAGCAGTCGTCGTACATGGCATCGCACTTGACAAATACAAACGTGGAAGTAGGTCATGCCTAAACGTTAGGCAAGTGAAGAATTCCCTGTATTAAGATCCCAAGATGTTGCTGTGTCTGACAGGAGTGTAGATAAATGGTTCAGAGAACCGACAAGTTGATAAATTAGACACGTGTGCAACACTAATATCTTTATTGAGCAAACTTTTCGCCACACAATGGCTTCATTAGTCCATACAAAGGAGAATGGTGAAGAACAGGAGTTTAAAGTAATCAGTCCCTCAGCTTTGAATCGAGGTAATCAGTCCCTCAAGGCTGAGGGACTGATTACCTCAAACTACTCCTGTTCTTCATTCTCCTTTGTGTGGACTGATGAAGCCACTGTGTGGCGAAAAGTTGCTCAATAAAGATACCTTAGTGTTGCACATGTGTCTAATTTATCAACTTGCCGGTTCTCTGAACCATTTATCATTGTACATGCTGATGGACTGGACATACGAGCAGAGAAAAACAGCCAAGATATGGTGGGACAAGATAACAGGAAAGAAAAGCTATCATAGAAGCACGAGTGGAGGTACATGATTTAGTACATTCAGAGAATCAACAAGAAGCATCCAGGAGTAGCAACTTGTAACCCCATTTCTTTCCTTCACCCTCTAACTCGCCTTTTTCTTTCCAGACTTCTTCCATCCCCACACTCTCCCACTATTCTTACATTTCACTACCTTGATTAACAGTCAGCAATCTATTCCTAAATACCCTCAAACCCACCTCACTTCTCTTCTAGGTTCACTCTTTGACCATTTCTCTTCCTTCGTCTATTACTTCAGTTTACCTTCCCCCCTCTGTTGAACCTCTCCCTTCATTGCTCCTTCCTATCTTCTCCAAGCTAAATGACGCTGACACTGATGGAGGCGGTAATGGAGAATTTCATGACACAACGTATCAAAGAAACTGCAAGAATGAGGGCAGGAATGAACCAGCTCAACTTGACCTGGTTTTCACCTTGAGTGAACCTGATACAGGTGAAATAGAATACGGGCTACCACTAAGGGCCAGTGACCACATGGTGCTCAGCTGTGAATACTCAGCAGAAGTGGCAGTGGAGAGAAGAGAGAAATGTATGTAATGAACCAGGTTACAGAATACTGTGCAGAGATAATGTATGGGACACGGAACTGACTAGTCGGTATAGTCCACTTGATGGAGGACCTCGCTGGAAAGTGCGTGGAGGCAAGGTCTATCTATATCTGTCAGGTGCGGGAAGGCAAAACAGAGATTTGGTTCAATCAGAGCTAACATTAAAATGGTATAAAGTACCGACAGGTTGTTAGGTAAGACACACATGCAACAGTTAGGTATCTTTATTTCGAAACGTTTCGAAATAAAGATACCTAACTGTTGCATATGTCTTACCTATCAATCATAGCTGCAGAGAGGCCAGGAGGAAGAAACATAGCATGGAAAGAAGTACAGCACAGAGATAACTGGGAAGCAAGCATAATAGGAATGGCTACGCAAGGATAAACAAAACTGGCATAAATTTACGAATAACGTACTAAGGGACAATTAAGATCCAAATCTACTACACAGCAACATAAAGGAGACTGAAAAAGTCGAATTAATTAGGCTGGAGGAGGGAAGACTCCCACAAAACGATAGCCGCAATGAATTAAGAAAGTATTCACTTTCTCCCTTGCCTGAGAGCAAGGGAGATAGTGCTAGCCAACAAATTAGATAGAATTCACATATTAAAGAAGGAAATTATAAAAGCACTAAAAGAGACGAGCTCATCAAAAGCTATGAAGCTCTGGCAGTGTATCACCATGGACACTGCAAGGAGGCAAGTGTCTAGCAACTGAAAAACTGTAAAGGTGTCTCCAATATACAAGCATGGCATACAAAAGACACACCCTGGTATCAGTGATGTGTATACTGTCCAAAATATTAGTAAAGAACTAACCAGGAAAAGATGGGTTAAACATCTGGAGAGGAGGAGGCATTTTGTCAGGGAAAACCCATAATCGATTTAGGGAACATAAGTCCTGCCATACTGGCCCGTTAGTTCCATGATATCAAGGAAATCAAGCAAGAGACTGATTTAACAAATTAAAGCAGAAAGCACGGATATAATGCAGTAGATCAAGGGATACCTAACAGTTAGAACAGAAGACAGAGGGTGATGATAGGCGCAGATGTTTCAAGATAAGAATGTGTAACATGTAGTTTCGCAAGGATCTCTACTGAGACCATTGTTATTATTAATATATGCACTCACTCACCAGTACAAAGGCTTGTGTGCTGTCCTCACTTGTGTGTATTCTGCTGAAGAGAATCTCAGCTTGAGGTCGAAATACAGACTACCATTCTTCCACGTTTCTTTCTCTCGTGGGCTTTCCTTGTATGTATGTATATGTATATATATATGTATATATATATATATATATATATATATATATATATATATATATATGTCGTGCCGAATATATAAAACTGGTTAATTAGCAAGAACTCATTTAAAATTAAGTCCTGAAATTTTCTTTTATATGTTTAAAGATAGATATATTTTTTTCATTAATGTTAGTGTAAGAATTTTTAATTTTACACCAAAAGAATCTTAGAAAACTTACCTAACCTTATTATAACAATAGCAATTTATTTTAGCCTAACCTGACTAAATATATTTTAGATTTGTTTACAGTAATTTAATACTAAACAAACACAGTGAAATATATTTTTTTCGTTAAGTTCAGAATTATTTTGGCGAAATTATTGCATACACAAATTTTCACTTGTCCTATATGGCAAGATGAGCGTTGCTATTTAAGCCAAGATGGCAAGTTCTGCCTATTCGGCACGACATATATATATATATATATATATATATATATATATATATATATATATATAATGTCGTGCCGAATAGGCAGAACTTGCGATCTTGGCTTAAATAGCAACGCTCATCTTGCCATATAGGATAAGTGAAAATCTGTGTATGCAAATTTCGCCAAATTCATTCTGAACCTAACGGAAAAAATATATTTCACTGTGTTTGTTAAGTATTAAATTATTGTAAACAAATCTAAAGTATATTTAGTTGGGTTAGGCTAAAATAAATTGTTCTTGTTATAATAAGGTTAGGAAAGTTTTCTAAGATTCTTTTGTTGCAAAATTAAAAATTGTTACATTAACATTAGCGAAAAAAATATATCTTTAAACGTATAAAAGAAAATTTTAGAAAGGACTTAATTTTAAATGAGTTCTTGCTAATTGACCAGTTTTACATATTCGGTACGACATTATATATATATATATATATATATATATATATATATATATATATATATATATATATATAATATATATAATATATATATATATATAATATATATATATATATATAATATATATAATATATATATATATATAATATATATATATATATATATATATATATATAATATATATATATATATATATATATATTATATATATATATATATATATATATATATATATTATAATATATATATATATAAAATATATATATATATATATATATTAATATATATATATATATATATATATATATATATATATATATATATATATATATATATATATATATATATATATATATATATATATATATAATATATATATATATATATATATATATATAAAATATTGAGGGTGAAGCACTTGGGAAAAAAGACAATTTAGTTGCTAAACTCTTGTAAAGCTCAAGAGTGCCAATTACCATATTTTTTAAGGAGGCTCAACTCGGGCCTCTGGCTCAACTCTCCTGCTGCAGGAGACGCTCTTGTGTTAGTGAATTAATTTTCCGCCTCCCTGTGCTTTGGGCACGCACTTTGTTCACGATATTGATCTGTGCTGTGATGGATTTGCTAGGATATTTGCCAGAAATGTGGCGAGGGGCAAAACACACACACACACACACACAAAATTAAACGTGTTCTTGTGTCATGGCCAGTGGCAGTATCTCGAGTATAATTATATGTTTTTATTATAACAGATACATGTAATTTTCCTCGCTGTCTTTTTTTATACATTCATAAATTAATAAGTGAAGATAAGCAGTGTCCCATTTGGACAGTGTTTTGTGGGCGACAATGTTCTTGGACCAGACGTCGCCTGTGGCAAGTAAACTGAGAGGACTGATTAACGATACCACTTAAGACTCTTGTTTATTTTCTGCATTATATAGCAGGCACACCTTACATCCAAACACTTCATAAATATACAACACCACCTATACAGTATTAGTGTTCTTCATACACAATCTTGATTCTTAGGTATAAAACGACTTCCTCAAAGAACATAAGTGTTCTCAAAGTTTTGAAATGTTCCACATGGCTCAATTAACACAGCTAACTAGCACATCTTGGTTTAAATAATAACAAATGTTTAATACCTAGAAAGTAATATTTCTATAAATATCAATACACTGTTAAACTTCTTATCCAGGAATATTTTTAAGTATTTACAGTGTTAAAACCTACTGGTTTGTTCGATCATTTTTTTTAATTAAATTACTAAAATTTGGAAGTTTGCTGTCTAAATATCAGCAAATGTTTCATTTAAAAACAACACACTTTTGTTCCAATAAAAACACAGGGAACAAAAGTAGGTTGCAATGTTTTGTTCGTCAGGAAAATGTCTCAAGGCACTTTGTCAGATGATGACCCGCTCATTAATTTATAAAACTATCGGTTTCTACAGATCAATATTAGTGTTTTTAGATGTAGAGAGAGCGAGCCACCGCCACCAGGACTAGAGGTGGAACTTAAGTACAAACTAGACGGATGATAGTTTCTAGCGAGACTGGGGGGGGGGGAGGAACTAAGTACGAACTAAAATTGGTAAAGGTGGCAATATTTACTAACAAGATGGGAAGGAGCTATGTACAAATTACAAAAGTAGTGGGTAGGAGTAGCAAAAATGGGGTGGGTAGGGGTGCAAATAGGAACAAATTAGACGGGGGTGTAACTAGGAACTAGACGGACTGGAACTAAGAACAAATTAAACGGGGTTGACCTAAGTACAAAATTAACAGGATGGGTAGGGTTAGCACTACGCACAAACATACAATTCACAATAAAGTACCTCTTTATCAAATAAATACATTGAAAGCATAGGAGATTAATGGCAATGAACAAGTATATGACATGTATACACAAGCGTATGACATGAATCTTAGCCTCTAACACTGATTTTTTTTGAACGTTACTACCAATGTAATGTTTAAGAAATAAATGTGTAGGTAGCTGCCACAGAAGGACTTCTGAATACATACTGTAGAAGCTGAATGTTATACCCATTTGCAATATTAAAAAAACTGGGAGGACTCACTTAAAACACTTAAGAGAAAACCAGATACACGCAATATCAAGTTGTGCGCTGGAGCTCTTGACTACTGCGCCTCCATAACAGCCTATTTGTGATGGTGCTCGGTCGGTGACTGGCCAGCGATATCATCGGAATTTCCAAGAAAAACTTAAATTTATAACCCGACGGCCTGATTAAAACCATCGACCTACATAATACTGAAGAGAAGGTGGGTTACTGCATCCTTTGCAGGTCTTGCAGGAGAGGAGGCGGCTCATTCCTCGGACATGACAGTAGTGCTAACCTTGTCATTACGGCTTCCTAAGTGGCTTATGCCTACCTAAGCTAATTAGTTCAGTTTTAAAAGTCTATCAACTGCCTGTGGTCTATTAAGGCTGCATGTCACCTGTAAATCAACTTTTAATAATGCTTAAAGTTCCTAAAATAGGGATAGAAGTAAACTCAATGTGTGTACACACAAGCACACATCTCGTTTATATATGTGGCTGACTTAATTGAGTTGGTCGAAAATTATTTATATTTTATGGGAAGCATCATCTGAGATGACAGACTATAGGCGAGTCATGGCCAGTGAGGCCTTGGTAAGGCACAGCTGTTATGCTCCACCAACGTTCACTAAGTCTTAAAGTTAATGTGTATGCCAAACTAGGTTACGATTTTTTCCCCCTAACTTCATTGCAGTTGCGCACTGGAGGCCGTATGTTATCACTGCTTCGTGATAGTTCAATGCACTTTCTGACTTGCACTAGGAAACATTGTACTATTTATCCTACGTTATGGAAACAATGTAAATTCTTCTGTCCTACGCTATGAAAACCATATTTACTGTGACCTGAGTAAGCTGTGGAAACAAAGCAATTTGAATTAATAAAAAAAAGTTGCGGTAGTCGGTAGCGTATGATTTATCAACTATGGCGGTGCAATTTTATATTGATATATTTTGAGGTTAAGCTAAATTTGTGAACAGACCTCACACAACTGTGTGTGGGGGGGGGGGGGGGAAGCATGTTTGCCAGCATCTCCATTTTGACGAGTGAGAATAATTTTGCGCGAGACCGCCCTCGCTCCCTGATAAGTTGACTTTTGGCCAATAAGTGAACACATCTGCAGTCACAGCCAACTTGAATGCTTAATAATAATAAACTAATATGTCAAATAAAGCATGTGTCTGTGTACAGGCTACACAGACAATTATGAAAATGCAAGGGAAAATTTTCCCTACGTAGCATGAACACTTGACAATTTTCTGTTGGGCAGGGACACATCCTAAATCTCAGATTTTTCCTACTCTTTGTGAGGACAAGGTTACCAGCGCCGCCTCCCTCTCTCCTGCAGCTGTCTTGTTGTGCTTGCTTGGCCCGTCCGGTCATGGTCACATGACTAGGCTAGCTAGTACACTAGTTTTATTTATGTAAGGGTATATCTCGACTAAGGCACGGCATATCACTAGTATATCGCTACGTCTTAGGCTGGAATGTTGGCCTCTTCCATGTAAGTTTTTGATACATTCTCCAAGTGGCTTGTAAAATATCTGCTTGTGTAGTTCCGTTGGAATGAACTTAAAAATTATCATCATACTTATATGCTTATTACTGCTAAACACTGCTAAAAAATGATTTTCTTGGAATGAAGCCGTTTTTTTTTTTACATAAAGCATTTTTAACATTAAATTGGCAAAGTTTTTTCTTTTTTCTTTTTTTTAATAACTATTCTCTCCTAAACCTTGAGGGATTTGTGTATTGGTCCCAATGCTGTACAGAAGGAATTCACCCTTACTGTACAAAAATATGTGGTAGTTGGTCCCTTATGTTTAAAGGATGGCACTTTTCGAAGTTTTGGCACTGGTTAAGGATGGCACTGGTCGAGGCCTTAGTGACACTCGAATACTTAATAACAAACTCAAGATACTCGGGGCCACTGAAGATCACTAGCAAATTCGAGGCTAAATGTTCAAGTCGCACTTGTGAGAACTTCCGAGCATGCAAGTGGCCGCACTTGACACAGTTGTGTTCTACTGCGACACTTCACTTTCCAACACTTTAAACACTTCCCCTCCCCATCTCACTTTTCACAATACAAGCTGTCTCACACTGTCTAGGTAAACCTTAGCAGCACATTTCAAGGGTTAACAGTGGTATACCTTAATATACCTTAACACACAACAAAGGGGGATGGGAGGGATACATCTTGGATAAGTTTTTTCTCTCTCTCTGGATAACAATACTTTCCAAGTAGTAGTAGTGATATACCTTGGAGCAGTAACAGTTGGAGGAGTGTTTCAATGTCACATGACGGGGTTTCGGTGTCATATGGGGCTTCAGTTCCCCATGGTGGCGCTTCTGTGTCACACGGCGGCATTTCAGTGTTACAAGGCAACATTTTCTTGCCACGTGACAGTTCAGTACCACAAGACATCGTTTAAGTGGCACATGGCGACGATTTATTGCCATGTGGTGTTTCAGTGCCACATGGCGGCGTAGGGGTAGGGGTACTGGAAGGCGGCATAAGACTGAGTGGGGTAACACAGGTTCTGATGGAGGAACGGGTTGACGTTGGACGGCTTGGGCGCCGTGAGGGGAGGCAGAGGCTCCTCCTTGGGCACGCGGGGTGGCTGAAGTTCTACATACTCCCCCACGGGGGATCCTGGAGAGCCTCCGGGGGATATTCCGCCTACGGAAGGCACCCCACCCCCGATATCCCCTGCAATATCCGGAGAGCCGTGGCTGCCAGGCTGGGGAGAGGCGCCCCCACTGTAGTAAGGAGAACCTGAACTTCCATAAACAGGGGCAGACGGGAGGAGTCTGAGGGGCGGGAGAGAGGTGTGGGTTGCAGAGCCTCCTGAGGTGAGGGAGCCGCTGCAGGTGCTACTACCGCTGGGGGCGGTCATGCTGTTCATAGACGACATGGTAGACATGGGCTGCAGGTTGGCGTGGGGGGCGTGGGCGGCAGTGGATACGTAGTGTCCGGTGGAGCCCTGGTCAGGAAGTAGGTACTTGTTCATCTCTGCCCGGTCAATGGTCTCGAAGGAGTCAGCGAGGCAGTCTGGCACGAAGACTGTCTCGCTTAGGTGGCCCTCCGTGTGGCCCCGGACCGCATTGCCTTGGCCGGAAGGAGAGTGTGGCGGGGACAGAGGGTGCAGGCTCAGACCCAACCCATTGCTCTTGACGGAGCTGCGGCAGGAGAGAACACCATGTTAGTATACTGTACGAGTTTCTCTCTCTCTCTCTCTCTCTCTCTCTCACTCTCACTCTCACTCTCACTCACTCACTCACTCACTCATTCACTCATTCACTCATTCACTCATTCACTCATTCACTCACACACACACACACACACACACACACACACACACACACACACACACACATATACAGGAGCTGAGTCTCGACCCCTGCAACCACAATTAGGTGAGTACATTCATTTTCTAAGTAATTGGACCAATCATCCCCTTATAGCGAACGTAATACGCCCTCCCGTTACCCATGCAATGCATGACCCATCATAATAATGTATGGCGAGTCTCGTGAGAGCCGGGTAGAAAGCCACCAATATTGTTGTTATTAAACGAAGCTAAACAGGCAGCACTAAGCAAAGAAAATAAAGCGGTTGATGGATGGCCTTTCACTGTCCAGCCGGATATGACACCCGAGCGACGGATCTGGGACGCTGGCGAGTGAAGAGGACAAGGTGGGATGTGGATGAGGGGAGCAAACGAGTAGTGGGGGGGGGACAAAGTGGGATGGGGAAGAGGAGCACTGACGAGTGGGGAGGACAAGGTGGGAAGGGAAAGAGTGAAGCTGACGAGTGGGATAGGGAAGGAATGGGTAAGTATGATTATACGTATGTGGAGAGAAATTCCCCCCCCCCCCCGGCGCTGCATTAACCTTCAGCGTTTTAACCAGGGGAACAACCACGGAGGGGCGAAACTTCCCCCATCCAGATACAAATACTTTTTATGCATTTATTTTTCAATTAATGGTTAATTATCACTGTATTATATTGACCAGTGACCATAAAAACACAACAGTTCAAAAACTTTGAGATACGTTTGAAAATCGTGTTTGTAAACAGATCAATTTTTCGGTTTAAGATTTTTAAACCCTGTAAAATCCTAGCTTGCACCACTGGTTCTAAACAACAACAACAATATTAATAATAATAATAATTTACCTGACGTAGTGATTGGCGGAGAGGTCCTGAACCCCGAGATGGGAGGCCATGGGCCCCTGAGAAGGCTTGCTCACAGTCTTGACGTTTTCCTTCCTGCGGCGAGGCTGGTACTTGTAGTCTGGGTACTCCTGCTTGTGCTTGCGGCGCAGGTGGTCTGCGCGCTCGATGAACGGTCGCTTTTGCTCCTCAGTCATGCTCCTGCAAAAAAAAAAAAAAAAGGCACTGAAGTTATTTTTTTAATCAGGATTATATACAATCGCAGTGGGTGGCTATCCTATTCTTTGGGTTACACTGTGGGATACACTGTGCTCCTGTGGGATACACAGTGGTAACACCCATAGTGCTGCTACCTCTTTTACATGATAATTGCATACATTATGGGGACGACAGCTAGCTGTGCTTCTCCTGTCATATTTGGTGTTACGAGATGGATAGCATACATAAGGTGGTGAAATTTGTCAGCCTGATCTGGGAGAGGCCAGGGAGGCGATGAGGATATCGTCAAGTATTCTACTATGGCTTCATTAGCTACGGCAGTTTCAAAGGTGTTTTTTCCAGCAGAGCTGGAGTCAGTAATCCTCAGGCCGAGGTAATAATGAGCGGGTCAGATACGAGATAAAAGATAAACAGATATATTGCTACAACTTCTCGGAAATACTCTTACACCCTCTTGAGATTAGCCAAGAGTACCAGTGTTGGTGGTGAACAACACCGACAAATTCATAAATAAGCCGCATGTGCAACACTTGGGTATCGTTACTGACCAAGTATTTTGCCTGCACAACACGTTAATACTTATACTGTCTCCAGCATTTGACTGAAAAAGCTTGTTGCGCAAGCGAAACGTTTCGGCAATGAAGCTACCCAAGTGTTACACAGGTCTTATTCAAAATTAGCCACAATAGAGCAAACCTCTTTACCTCCCCTTTCCCAGGCGTTGTATGACTTGACATAATAGTAAATGTCACTACTACTACTACTACTACTGCTGTTGCTGCTACTATTGCTACTGCTGCTACTATTATTGCTGCTGCTGTTACTGCTACCACTTGCAGTATAAACATTGTGAGCAGCCTTGTATCCAAGCCAAGGATTCTCACTAAACTAACGACTCTTAGTTGTTAATACTGTAGGAGTGTGGTGGTGGTGCATTTTCAGAGGGCTCTTCGTCCATCCCTCGGCTGATGTATGCTATCTCCGGATTACTGGGGCTTATCTCTCCTATCATGTACTCTGCAGCTTATCTTGGATTTACAGAAGTCTGATATTCGAGGTGTGTGTGTGGGGGGTATACACCACCTAACTTTATATCTTGAAAATGCAAAGGAAATGGAGCTTGAACCTAGGTTCACTGTCCCAAAATGAAGGTTCGTAACGTAGGACACTGGTGGCCATTTTAATAAACCATTTTGTGAAGTTCTTTCTACCAGAGCAACTAGTAACCGCAACTATTGCAAAATAACAATGTGAACGCTTGGAAGCACTTGACTTGTACTCGTTGGAACGCAGGAGAGAGATATATCATCTACACTTGGAAAATCCTGGAAGGAATGGTCCCAAATCTGCACACAGAAATCACTCCCTACGAAAGTAAAAGACTGGGCAGGCGATGCAAAATACCCCCAATTAAAAGTAGGGGCGCTATTGGTACACTAAGAGAAAACGAGAAAACACCGTAAGTGTCCGGGGCCCAAGACTGTTCAACAGCCTCCCATCAAGCATTAGGGGAATTACCAATAAACCCCTGGCTGCCTTCAAGAGAGAGCTGGACATACCTAAAGTCAGTGCCGGATCAGCCGGGCTGTGGCTCGTACGTTGGACTGCGTGCGGCCAGCAGTAACAACCTGGTTGATCAGGCCCTGATCCACCGGGAGGCCTTGTCATGGACCGGGCCGCGGGGGCGTTCATCTCCGGAATAACCTCCAGGTAAACCTCCAGGTATGTATTAAGACTTGCTTCTACCTGCTAGCGCCACGACAAATGACTTAAAACACACAAGAACAACGGAACACTGCAACAAGCCTACTGATAGGTCTAACTCACACCCACCCTCACTCATGTACCCGTCCAACCTCTCATGTAAAGCTACCCAATGTTCTTGCCTCGGTGATGCTACGTAGTACTTAACTATATAATTTCTAAATCTAAATTTTTCCATCTTCAATCTATTGCAGCGAATCCTGTTATGGTTAGGTATTTCCCACACCCTGATTATATCCCCTTTATTTATTCCAGTTTTCCATTTGTATACTTCAATCATGTCTTAATTTTCTATTAATTATGTCTTTGTATATGAAGCCAAGAATTTTGTTTGCTCTTTTGCGAACACTTATGCACTGTTGTCTTGGCTTCAAATTTCTGCTGACCACAATGTGGGAAATTATGGGATGAGGTTCACAGGTACATAACTAAATTATTTCATCCACATGATTTACTGGGGGGAGGTTACAACTAAGCAACAATTTATTAAACTCTCCAAGATTAGTTGTACCTCTGAGTCAGATGGGATTTTAGCCGTACTAGACTGCACCATACCTCTCCTTCGATGACCCCCACACACTCTTGTCCTCCCACAAAGTCGAGCCTATAAAAATGTTACAATATAAAAATTAATAATGGTAAAATATAAGATTGTGGACTGTATATTGGGTTTGTGACTTACAAATGGTTCGATGGGTCCACATCATCTAACTACTGATACATGCATATTATACAAATAGAAAGAACGGAAAATTTAACCTGAACACACCATTTAATTACTGGAAGACACTGCTGGTGGAACACACCCAAACGCCTACCTAGCTAATAGAATCTAACTGGCCAGTCAGTATCTGTTAAGTAAATGACATACCTCCCTGGGGCGAGCTGCGATGACGCCGAATCATTTTCCATTCTCACCACCCTATTATGGTGGTTTCGTAAATTTCCTGTCCCTATTCTTCAGCGGGTGACATTAAATGGGGTTCCAATTACAAATTCAGGCCGATCCGCTCAATTTTGGTCTCGATGCTGCCGAATTAAATTTCACTACTGGCACAAACCAGAGCACGCTTTAATTATGGCGTCTTCTCTTCACTTGAAATTTCTAGCTCAAATCAAAGCCTCAGTTTTATACACTTCTTATTCAAATTTACACATTATAAATTAAGGAAAATTATAAGAATATCCACACAACTAATTTTTTTTCTCATTCACTTTGACTAAGAGTTACATTTTTTTTAGCTTATAAGTGTCAGTTATTTTATTTTACTAGGATTAGACTCGTATTTCAGTCTCCTGAATAGGACTATTAGAGGCCTTACAGAAGTCCATATACACAATATCGTATTCTTTATCTCGCTCTACCGCCTCCAACACCATAATGAAAAAGTTTAGTGTATTCGTAAGGCAAAAAACACTCCTTTATAAAACCGTTTTGAGATTCATGGTCAAATTATATTTTTCAATGTGGCTTCGAACTGCATCAGCAATTTATTCCATCAACTGTCCCACAATGGACTTATTTTCTTCCATGTAAACGGGTATCACATTTGCTATTTTCTACTTATCCGGTACGATACCCCTTTGTAGTGATTTGTTGGAGACTAGCTGCTGGTTCGCTAAGTTCCTCTTCAGATTCCTTTACAACCCTTGAAAACAGCTCGTTAGGGCCGGGTGGTTTGTTTGGTTTCCATCTATCAAGTTATCTGAGGACCATGTCACCAGAGACTGATCTTTTATCTACTCTTCAATCCCAGTCCGAGGTCAGACTTCATCGCGGACTGCTTGGTCGACCAGGCTGCAGCAGCTGCTGCTACCACCCACCCGCAGGCAAATATCACCATTACATATCACCGCACTTTTTCCGGCCAATTTTCGTAACTTTGTTCCAACAAAATTTCTTACATCTGCAATAGATGGTTAGAGAATCGTAGACCGCGGATGAATGGGAGCCTTAACTTTCCATTCTTAAGACCGTTGTTTTACTCTGTGAAGAGTCTGTCCCTGCCATCCTCCGTTACTTCACAAGTTCACGACAAATATAAACTGATCTGTTATTCGTTGCCATTTAATAACATTAAAATATTAGAGTATGCGTGTGAACCCACAAGTGTAAAAAAAAAAATACGAATAACAAAAAGAAACATTTCAGTTTTACCTGCAACTGGCTTTATCATTATTGTCACAATATCAGCTGAGCTCAAGAGAAAGTAAGTCTGAGTAGCGTAAATTCATTTTAATAAGTAACAAGAGTTGAGAATTAACCGACTGATTAATGGTGATTAATTAAAAATTTCAAAGGCATTTAAAGACTGCTGAACAATAATCATTTAATGCAGTAATGATTTGTAATTTTAAATGTAAATCAAGTGTATGTTACAGCATCGCCTAAAATTTTTGAGAAATGAAAATTTTTGGCATTAATTTGAAAATGAATGTACTACATTTCAATAATGATACATTCCTGCTTTCTGTTGTAAATGGCTATATTCCTTCCATTGTCAACACCAGTTACCACTCATCCCTCTCGTGGGCTCGGTAAACCTGTGCCACCTCCACAACCAGCGGGGTTGAGGCGTGAGCAACCTAGTTAGGGAAGTATCGTGTCTTGTTGAGTATTATCGCAGTGACTCGTCAGATCTCCAGGATAATAGCCTCTCTCGTGGGTTGTTTAGTTACCTAGGCTTTGCCTATGACTGTTGTTGAGAGTTACTGTGAATGTTGTAAGCTGTGTGGTGTATGTTGTAAATATTGAGGTGTGTTGTGGAGGGATGAATCGTCTTCACCTTAAGAATCTTTTAACATATCTTTGTAAACAATTGTATCTCTTCTCGTCATGTTTTCCCTTTATAAAGTTGTGAAAAAATAAGGAATCGTTGTGAAACTCGAAACTCTTCAAAGGTATATGCAGCACTCGGTAAAACATTTTTTTCACCCCGTTCCCTCCCCCAATATAATTTACGTGAACTGTGTGTAATTTGAGGCGCTGAGTTTTAAACGCTTATTCTTTTTAACTCTGTTTACTTCTCTACATATTCTCCTAACGTGTTTTCCACACTTATCGGCCAGAAAGTGCTACATCAGAAGAAGAATATCTTCGCGTGCCTTTTACATTCGCAAAAAAGTAAGACAAAAACAAGTGAGGATCATGGTTCCCGCCAAAAACAGAAGATAATGGTGTCCTCCCTGCCGCGCGCGCCAAAATTCTCAACACGTTT